ATCAAAGTCTTCGCCACCAAGGTGTGTGTTGCCGTTTGTTGCCTTCACTTCAAAGACTCCATCGTCAATAGCAAGAAGTGAGACATCAAACGTTCCACCACCGAGATCAAAGATCAAGACGTTCTTTTCTCTCTCTGTCTTCTTGTCAAGTCCATATGCTATTGCTGCTGCTGTTGGCTCATTGATGATTCTGAGCACATTGATGCCTGCTATTGTGCCTGCATCCTTTGTTGCTTGTCGCTGCGAGTCATTGAAATAGGCTGGACATGTGATGACTGCGTTGTTGACTTTCCCACCAACAAACGCCTCTGCTGTCTCCTTCATCTTTGTCAGCACCATCGAACTGATCTCCTCTGGTGTGAACTTCTTAGTCTCTCCCTTGTACTCCACCTGAATCAATGGCTTGTCATTGCCATCATTGACAACAGTGAATGACCAGTGCTTCATATCCTCTTGTATTGCTGGATCACTGAATCGTCTTCCAATCAGTCTCTTTGCATCAAAGACTGTATTCTTCACATTCATCGCAATCTGGTTCTTTGCTGCATCACCAATCAGCCTCTCACTGTCCGTGAAGGCAACATACGATGGCGTTGTTCTGTTGCCCTGATCATTTGCAATGATCTCAACTCTGTCGTTTTGCCAGATACCGACACAGGAGTATGTTGTCCCAAGGTCAATACCAACTGCGGTTCCTTTGTTTGCACTCATTTGATGAATTATTCAAAATCCAACACCATTTTATACGTCTTGCCGCCACGTCTCAGTTATTATTGTCAAACACTCAATTGCATCTCCCGCATCTGTGGCTTCATTTTGTCTGCAAACCCATTTTCAATTTCAAAATGTGGTGTTGACGTGGAAGACACGTCATTTCTATTTTTGGCAACACTTCTTTGATTTTTTATTTTTTATTATAAATAGTATATAGTATAGTTAAAACAAACCATTTTAAAAACAAATGAATCAAATAAATCAAGAGAAAACAAGTAAATACGAGTCAAAAGTCAGTCTATTTACTTTCTTAATTCAATACATAATTACTTTGTTACTTAATCAACACACATACAAAATAAATTGAACATAAATTCGAATCAGCCAAGTCTGTTATGAAATCATAGTTTGAAACACTATAATAAATCGACTTATTTCCATTGTAATGGTTCTGGTTATTAAACTTTATGTTGATGGTTTATTACAATAACGTATTAAGCAATATTTTATGTTTTAAACATTGTGTTTTATCGAACTAAACATGGTAATTATGAATTATTTTAAAACAATTAAAACCAAAACCATAAGAAGCCAAGTGAGTTATAACACGAAGAAAAGCATGAGAGCAATCAGAGCAAACAATTGTGGAACGCCGTTAGATGAGGTGTGTTTCTGTGATGACGTCTCAATGTCAGATGAAGTTGTGTTTTGTTGAGACGCATCATCAATTTCAGTTGATTTTTGTGATGACATGGCAGTGTCTTGGTGTTCAGAAGCACTTTTTTGTTCCAACACATCAACGGTGTTGAGTGGAAGAGCAGCTCTGTGTTCAACAATATTAGCAAGTGTTGTTGCAATCAGTAATATAACTAACATTCTTTGTTTGTGGAGTGTTTCATTATCTTTAAATATATTCACTCAACTTTTCGTGTCACTTTATCACAACCAAAAAGCTTTTTTATTCAAGTTGTTTTGAAGAAAGCAATGAGATTACAACAATGTTGTTCATTTGTGTTGAGCAAATAACGAAATGTAATTCAATAATTTTTGAACAAAATGAAGAATAGGGAATTTGTTGATATAATTGATTTAAATAAGTCTAAAAAACGGGAGTGTTGAAATGATTTCGTACTTTTTACACAAAATAACAAATGCCAACGAAATGTGATTGATTCCTGTGAATATCCAAAGTCGGATGTTGTTATTACAAATGTGAATTGTGTGACTTTTTTTACATTCATTGGTTGACAGAATCGCACTATATCATTTTAAATCAATAATATCATTTATTTACAAGTAAACGCTATTGCTTTGTTTTGGAAAGTTGAGTGTAAGTATATAAAGATAACAAAACACTCCACAAACAAAGAATGTTAGTTATATTACTGATTGCAACAACACTTGCTAATATTGTTGAACACAGAGCTGCTCTTCCACTCAACACCGTTGATGTGTTGGAACAAAAAAGTGCTTCTGAACACCAAGACACTGCCATGTCATCACAAAAATCAACTGAAATTGATGATGCTTCTCAACAAAACACAACTTCATCTGACATTGAGACGTCATCACAGAAACACACCTCATCTAACGGCGTTCCACAATTGTTTGCTCTGATTGCTCTCATGCTTTTCTTCGTGTTATAACTCACTTGGCTTCTTATTATTTTCATTACTTAATTTTTTAACATTTTTAATAATTAATTAGAGTCAGTCTTTTAACGTTATCTGGTCTCAAAAGCTATCTGGTGGACAAAAAATAGCTTTAATTTTGTCTAAAATCGGGCATTAGGTAAAGCGTGAAAAAACTCGAAACAGTTGGGATTGCCTTCTGAAATATTCCATTCTTTATGGTTCAAAAGGTACCATATAACGTTTGAGACCAAATAACGTTTTAATACTGACTGTAATTATAATTTTTTTATTCATTATAACAAAGTTAAGAATAACAATACTGTGTTGTAATGTTAATGTGGTGTTTTAAAATTCAAAAATATAAAAAATGGATAACAATCCCCATAATACTACATATATCATTAACCAAAAGATATAACAATATTTTAAAAATTGAGATTGTAAATAAATAAGTCTTAGATATATGAATAAGATGAAAATATTATTTACAAGAAGAAAACACCTTGTTAAGTCAGTTTTCATAAAGTTGACCATGTTGGGTGTTAATATTATCTTTTTTTCATAAAAAAAACATTTTAAGAATATTAAAATAAAATCAAAACATTTATTTCAAGTTCTTCTTGGAATGTTATTTATTGAAAATTATTTCTAGTATAATTATAATACTTTTATAGTATTAGTTATATATAACTATATAATTATTAAACTTTAATAGAAATATTTTATTTTATTTTTTTAATTATTAGAAAAAAATTATTTTATTATCTATTTTTAAAACAATTGTATAAGAGCAATAATAGTATTAATAATAGTAGTATTACACATTTTAAACTTCAAATCCCATATTGTTTATTTTTCATATTAGAAATGACACGTGGGTTCATTTATTTAAAATTGTTATTGTTTGTGCAAAAATTAAGTAGAAAAAACAACGAAATCCCAACAATTGTTAATTGAAACACCTTTTTCTTAATTTTTAATAATATTTTCTGATGATCGTGACATGAAGAAGAAAACAAGACATATTAGATTACAATTAGAATACAATCACAGCTGCTTTTTAATCGCCTTAGTCACAGAAAACAGCTTTTGTTCGACGAATTCAAGGGGAACTTCTTTACTTGGATCAAAGTGAGTTAACATGAATTCGTAAACTGTTTTAGTAAGACTAGCATGTTTGTCCTGTGTCCACTTAAAATTGCCGGCCTTGACTTGTTTCAAGATGGTGTGGAAAGACGAACGTGTATTATTGACTTTGTCTCTGATTTGTGTTGGAGTTTTGTTGATGCCCAATTCATTGTTCATATCTTCTGTGCATTTCTGATGGAATACATGCAATGAAGTGGATTTTCTCTCCTTGATTTGCCATTTTCTATATTTAAGCATGACATACATAGTACTTAAATCGGTCCACTCTCGAGTGATTTTACTCTCTTTACTTTCCGATATTTCAGCAGATCCCATAACAGTAAGGTCGAAGTAGACCTTGTAGAATGAAGGACATGATGGTTTGAAGACACTCAGTGTTTGCATTTTATAAAAAGTTTGTTCAAGTTCACTATATATACCCTTAAAGTTCGCTCATATTTGTTGACATTTTTTATTCTTTTGAATAAAATAGAACCCTCTGATTTGAGTCTATTCTAATTAAATAAAAATAGGGTGGTTTGCTTCGCTTTGATTTTTTGGAAGCAAAGAAGTTTTACTTCTTTTTATTATTCATTTTACTATATTATTCCATTCGAAACAGACTATTATTCTAACCTCGAATTTGTGCTTCCAAGTTTGAACTATTTTGCATTCGTTCCAAAAAAAATCGTAAAACTTATTTTTCCTTTCATCTGCTTTTCAAATCGGTGTTTATTAATTCATTTATAATTATTTTTACTAATATTTATAGATTTTATTTTGTTTCCTTAAATAATCCAATTCTTTTTTAATAAATAAATCTCCCCTCAAACATTTTTATTTCGCTTTTTTCTCTGTTGTGAATTGATTAATTCCCGTTTTTTCCGATATTATTTCGAAATATTCTTCGTAATTCAACGAAACCTAAAACTACAGAATTATAGTTTTTGAAACCAGTTATTGTCCCAAACTGTTTTTTTTCTATAATTATTCTGCACTTTTGTTTTTTTTTTGACTTTTTTTCTCTTGAAAAACACTAAAACTGCTTTTTTAATAAATTTGAAAACTATCCCCAAAACAGGAATCCAAAAAAGTTTGCAAACTGCCAAAACTATATTTAATTACATTTAAAACCATATCATATGACACAAGTGTTGTAAGACATGAATATCAACTCGTAACGCTGAATTATAAAAGAACTACAAAAATGAACTTGAGAATTAGTTCTTATTCTCCATCTTATCAAGGAAATAATTGAAAAGGTCTTCATGGAGGAAGTTTTTAATTTCCTCGTTTCTCATTTTGAGGTACATAACACTCTCGACGGCTTCTTTGTATTCCCCAAATTTCTCGTCGGCAAGGAGTCGATCGACGTCATCGACAATAACAAGAACAACGCTTTTCGCCTCTTTCACGCAATCGTCTGCTCGACTTAAGAGCACAGAACTCTTCACCCCATTTCGATTCAGTCTTTCATTATTATTGATCAATGCTTGGGAGAACATAATCCACGAATTGGCTACTTCACAGACTTCTTTGAGTCCCACCATCTCAAGTTGACTTAAGTATTCCTCAAAGTGAGTCACCATCTCGAAGACATAAGTCACTGCAAATCAAC